CTGTTTAAATCATAGAAGGTAAAGTTAAGGAATTTGCTTTGGGACTGGAAAGCATGTAAGTAGCAGAGGGCAAAGTCTGCCTAGCACCAAAGCTGGTGTCCTTTTTTGATGTCTCCTAGGAGGAAAGAAAAATCAAGAGGTCTTCCATTTCCTACATACATATATACACACACATACATACATGCATACACACATACATACATGCATACATACATAAGCTCACCACTGTTCCCAGAGAGAAACATGCTAGCCTTAGGAGAAGGTAGTCTTGAGAATCTGGACTCCCACCCATTGTGTGTGTGTGTGTGTGTGTGTGTTAAAGAGAAGAGAGAGCCCTGGTAGGGGAGGGGCTAAGGCAGAAATCCCTTTTCCAAAGTGTGTGTGCCCAGTGCATGCATTATTACAAACCAGGAAACAAAATGAGGAGGAACCTGAGTTCTGCGCCCCACCCCGGCCTCTGTGACAGGCACAAAGCTGCCATGCTCAGATCTCCAGTTACAGGACTGTGGTTAGTGGGCACTATTAACTCTTTCAGGTCTGTTTCAGCTCCCTGGAAGGAGCCCAGCTGATGAATGATAAAGACAACGAGAGCCAAGAGACCCTCTTCGCAGTCGGCTTTAGCAAGCGGTTGGTGGGGCAGCCCAGCTATTTCTGCCCAGGAGAATCTCTGCACTGGAAAGAACAGTTGTTGCCTGGGAGCGTCCTGCGGGCTGGATGAGGCACCATGTGATAGGCCTCACAGGCCACTGTGCTTTCTGCCTAACCCACCTTCCACCCTAATGTGTTACTCCTCAACACAGGTGCACACTCCCAGCTCTGTGTTTGCATTTGCCTCCTGGAAACCGAATCTCTGCGGGGTCTCACATATCACAATCAAAATCTGAAGTGCCGAGCCACTAGAACACACCACCACGGGGACGGGGATGTGTCCGTGCTTCCTGAATGGTTCCCGGTACCTGGAGGAGAAGACACAGAGTGCTGGGTGGGTGTCCAGCCGCCCTAGTTCGCTACCTCCTCAGCACCCAGCCCCCTTCCTTCCTCCTTCCTTTCCCTCTGTCAAATCCTGAGAATTCACATGAGGCACGGTGCTCTGTGCACGGAACCACCTTCTCGTCTCATCCTTAGCTACGTTTCCTCTTCCTTTCTCAGCAAGCCACAAGGCATTTTTACCATCATTTCCTTCTATCAGTAGCAAATACTGATCCCTACTGGGCTCAAATCCAGGAGACATCCACAGAGAGCATCCTAAGGAACACTGACCTAACAAGGTCCTATAACATTTTAAAAAATTGTCTACTGGGGCTCAGGCATCCTATTAAGGTGACCCACCCACATTTTTTAAAAGAAATGGTGGTAAAATATAGATAACATAAATCTTACCATTCTAGCCTTTTTTTAAGCATACACTTCAATGGCTTTTTAAGTTCACTCACAATTTTGTGCAAATAGAATCACTTTTCATCTCCAGAACTTTTTCATCTTCTTAAACTCAAGCTCTGCACTTACTAAACTAACTCTCCGTTCCTGCCCTCTCCAACCTCGGGTAATCTATGTGTTTGACTATTCTAGGTACCTCATGAATGAGGAATCACGTGTATTTGTCCTTTTGCATCTGATTGATTTCACAATGTCTGAGGTTCATCCATGTTTCCACCTGTATCAGAATTTCCTTCTTTTTTATGCCTGAGTTATGCTCCATTGAATGTATGTACATTTTGGTTTTCCATCCATCTCTTGTTGGGCACTTGCACTGTTCTCTGCTTTCAGCTCCATGAATGATGCTGCTTTGAAGACTGCTATACAAAATCAGATTGAGTCCCTGCTTTCAATTCTTTCAAAATAGGAGTGGAAATTCCTTGGTTCCATGGGAATGATATGTTGAGCTCCTTGAGGAATCATTAAGCTTCTTTCACAGTATTAACAAGGTCCTTTTCGATAGTGCTCCCGGAGCAGCACCTGGCCTCCCTGCCTTGGAGGAGAGTCATAATGCTCAGTAATATGCTAAAGGCCCTGGGAGTTCCTAAAGGAAAGATACCTGCTGACTTTGACCAAACTGACAGTGGAACTCTTTTTGCACAGAAACTGCTAACAGCCAGCTTAGGCAACAACAGACGGGTAAAACAGTGGGTCATGAAGAGTCCTCGAAGCGCCCCATCTCCAACCCTTAGCCATTCTGAGGGGTGACCTTGCTTCTCCTGGTGCCCCAGCACAAGTTCTGTTCTCTGTCTGGTGCACCCTTGTTTTCCTTCTTTGTGATCTACGTATCCTCCAGAACCAGCTCAGTATCTCCCTCCCGTTCCCTCAAGAAACACTGACCCTACCCTCCGACCTCTCCCAGCAGGAACTGGGGGCCGCTCTTCTGCTGAGAGCTGACTGTACAGAGCTGCCCTGTCTGCCTGCTCCACAGTGTCAAAGGTGGCGACAGCAGTCTGCATGAACCACCACCTGGGAAACTTACTGAAAATGCAGGTGCCCCCATCTCACTGAAAACTCCAACTCTGTCGCCTGAAAAACAATTTTCAGCAAGCCCAGGCAAGATTCTCAGAGGATTCTGGGAATCCTTCTTAGCTCCACGAAGATAAAAGTCATTTCTGTTTACTTTCCATCTCATAGACACACAATAAATATCAAATGAGCGAGCAAATGAATGAGAGGAATGAATGAACTAACTTAGTTTCTTCTTCTGTAAAATGATGAGCTTGGACTGGATGTTCTCTAACCTTTCTTCTGGTTAAACTTCTCTTTATAAAATCTGGGTTATTTCACCCAAAACGCCATGCTCCCTGCAGCTTTAGTATCAGAACAATACACAAAGCACAAACTCAAGCATGGGAAACCACCAGCGAGACCTGCTGAAGAGGGATTTAGCCCAAGCTAATATTTAGCAAATGACTCAAGACTCATGAATAACCGTATTTTGGAAACTACCAAATTTATCACAGGCTAGAGACACAAAGAAAGGCACGCACTTGTGCCCATGTGAATTCAGTCTCTTTCTCTCCCATAAGGATGAGAAGCCAACAAGCAGCACCATCAGGGCTGAGAAGCCCCAACTTGGGAACTAGGGAACAAGGCATGACAGGAAATGGGGGTGGGGAGGGGTGGGGAACAGGAGGGGACAGCTGCTGTCCCGCTGCAGGGAGGGGGCATATTGCAGGAACTGTCAAGGGCCCCTGATTCTCGGTGGTATCATTGGACATAAAACCCTGACTCCTTTCCCTGAAACCCCTGCAGGCTTTGAGAGGCAGCTCCAGCTTCTCATAAGAGCTGTGGCCTGAGAAAATGAAGGCTCCCATTTCTTGTAATCTCTCAGCATTTCAGAGGAAAAGGTTGGCGATGGCTGCCAAGATCCAGCAAATATTTGGTTAGCTTGGAAAGAATGGGTGCTCATTTTCCAATTCTCACAGATTTCTCTATGCCCAGTTCTTTTTATTAAAAACTTTAAATCCAGAGATAAAGTCGAATGGCACTCCAGGCTCTAAGCATTCATCTGTATCCCGGGGAGCAGAACCCAGGATCTAAACAAAGAAAAGCTCAATCAATAGAACTCATGCACTTCTCTAGGAACAGGACCCAGCGAAGCAAAGCAGAAGGGCTCCTATCTTGTTCCTTCCTTTGATAAGATTATTTATCGGAAGGGCTGGGGAATACTTTTTCCATTTAGAGTCAACAAACGATGGCCCATGGGCCAAATCATGCCCGTTGCCTTTTTGTTTTCTGTGTAGCCTGTGGATTAGGAATTAAAAAAAATCTTTTTAAGGCGTTAAAGAGAATCAAAAGAATATTTTATGATATTCAGAAGTTAGATGAGATTCAAATGTGGGTCTATAAATAAAGTCTTATTGGAAGACAGCCTCACCCTTTTTTTTGCGTATTGTCTAGCTGATTTTGAGCTGCAGAGGCAGAGTGGAGTCACCGAGATGGAGTCCACTGTGACCTCAAAGTCTAAAATATATCCTACCTGACCCACTGCAGAAACACACTGCAGATCCCGGGAGCAGGGGACATAAGAAGAGGCTCTGGGTTGAGGGGCACAGCTTAGTGTACCTTCAGCTCTACCACTTAAGGCTCAGCTGTTCCCCCGAGAGCTTCACCAAATCACATCCACGCTAGGGACCCCCTTTTAGGGATCTAAGGAGCTGGGTCTTCTCAGCTTATTCCCACTTTCATAACCTTGAACCAAATAGTCTGTCTGCTCAGAGAAGGTGCACTGTCACCTCTGCTTGGTGTCTCCCCTTGAAACCTCTCTCAGGTCTTAAAGTGCAGCAAGGAAGTCAGAATGCTAAGGATAATCCTTTTTTTTTTTTTTTTTTTTTGACAGGCAGAGTGGACAGTGAGAGAGCAAGGTCTTCCTTTTGCGTTGGTTCACCCTCTAATGGCCGCTGCTGCTGGCGCGCTGGGTGCAGGGCCCAAGGACTTGGGCTATTCTCCCAGGCCACAGCAGAGAGCTGGACTGCAAGAGGAGCAACTGGGACTAGAACCCGGGGTGCCGGCGCCGCAGGTGGAGGATTAGCCTATTGAGCCGCGGCGCTGGCCGAGGATGATCCTTGACCTGTGGCATCTTCAGCTTCACGGGCTTGGCCTGCAGTTGGGCCAGGTGGGCGAATATCCTGACCATGCTCTTGCCCAGGGATGGGAGCCGAGGTCGAGAGCTCCTCAGATGGCCTTCTGACGCCTGCAGAGTGGACAGAATTGGGGGGACGCAGGGAGGGGGTCACTGCCCTGTTCTCCTCCAGGCAATCAGTGGACGGCAAAAGTCAGGGAATCAGGCCTCAGGGAGCTGATGCTTGCGCCTTTCTCTGCAGGGTTTCAGGAAAACAGGGCTGCAGAGGCCCCGCCCCCATGGCCCTCGTGCTGGAGCCCAGCACCTGGGGCACCAAGCATGGGAGGCATTTCTGAAGCATGATGTAGCGCTCACACTGAAAAGGCACAAGTAAACCCCAAGCCTGAGCACACATTTCTCCAGTTTGTGAAGTGGATTAATAGAATAACCAATAAAACATGTATAAAAGCTTTAATTAAATCTGATGAAATAAAACTTCATGTTTTATTTATGGACACTCCCAACATGTAAAGGATTCAGGGGGACATTCATTTTTACTGCCATTTCGTCCTCATATCTATAATTAAATCCAGGCTGCAGCTCTGGCCCAAAGCAAAGCGGCCTTTTAAAGCTGGCCTTGGAGACTCCCCACCCCCCAATCTGCGTTTAATTATAATTACCATCCCCAGTACACAGGAGGCTGATGGCAAAACAAAACAAAATCATAAAACAAACAAACAAACAATGGGCCTGGCCATTGCGTTTTTAAGCCGATTTCCAGTTTTTTCCTATATGAAGTGCACAATCCCTTCATTTTACTTTTGACATAAAAAAAGGACTTCATGAAACAAGACAAAATAACTTATGATTATATGAAACATAACTGTGACAAATCACAAAACTATACATATTAATAGAAAAAAGTGTACCTAATTCTTTAAAAGATTTATGACAATAAGTACCAGATGTGCCTCTAGAGTAAAATCGGCCCCATATCCAGTATGATATATGCAGTTCATTTCTCTACGTGAGTGTATAGAACTATGTACAAGAATCTGTGTGATTTATGGAAAACAGATTTCCACTTTTCCCCCCAAAGTGCTTTATGTCAGCAACATTACACAGGATGCTTTGCTGTCTGTACAAAATAAATCTCTTCTTTTTTACACTCGCAATTTCTCCAATGAGTGTGTTTTTTTTTTTTGCTTTATCCATGGCAAAAAAGAAAAAAAAATATAACTGCAGAAATTCCTTATTACCAACAAAAAGTGCTGTTCAGAAAATGCTGCTATAAAATGACATGGTCAAAACAGTCAAATAAAATACTAAATAATTAAACTGAACATTTACAGTCACCATTCCCAATACTTCAAGGCACCTGGAAAGTCAAGGTTCTCGGATGGGGGAGTGGAACAGTTAGTCATCCCTGTTCAAGACTGGTATGTGCACCACAGCAGGCGACAGCTGGCAATCTGAAAACCACAGAACAAAACCAATATTCTGCTATCAGTGGAAACCACGCTGTGATCTCCTAAAGACCACTTTTGCATTTTAGGATCTCTGTAATTTGGGGGAGGTACAAGTAAAGGCAGATACCCCCATAAGATCACTACATAATTTAAATAATATTTAACAGCTGATCAGAGGCTAAATTACAACTGACATTTTGATGTAGTTCTTTTAGGGAATTAAGACATTGGAGCAAATGAGATGTCTTTAGACATACTGATTTTTTTTTTTTTTTAAGTAATAGGATAATTGGCTTTGGGCTGTGTGTGTTTTCACAAGCACCAGTCTTTGGTTTGGTTTGGTTTGGTTTGGTTTTTTGACACAAGGGCAATGACGATCTCTATCCAGATGTTTACATGAACAGTTACCTATCAAGATGAAACAGGACAGGAAATGGAAGGGAAAGATTTTGTTTAAATTTCTATCTTTACTGTTTTCCAAAATAATGATGAGAGCATATACAAATCTTTCACTGTGCAAAAGCAAGCAAGGCACAAAGGTTAAGACTGGGAGGGGGGCGGGGGGGAGGTTCTGGAATGTAAGGAGAATGTGCAGTCTGGAGGGAGCCTCGATGTGTCCTGCCCTGGGTCTCTAATCTCAAACCTGGAGGCATCAGGCAACACAGAAGGGCTGGTGAGGAGGTGCATGGGGCAACTTCTGGATGCTCCTGCAGGGGCTGGGCCTGGATCCTGCCGAGGGAGGATGCTCACAGGTGCAGCTGCTGCTCCTGCGTGGCCTGCCCTTGGTCCCTCCAGCCCAGGCGAGGCAAGACAGGGGCAGGAACACCGGGAGGCCACAGCTGGCACAGACGCATCTCCTCCCTCACTAAGGGGGAGATGACATCCATGTCTCCTGAGGTTGTTTCTTGCTTTGCCCTCCTTTTTCCTTCCTATTGGAAATGATATAAAGCCACGAGGCAAGGCAGACAACATCAGCAGCACTAGTAACCTAGCCTTTTCATCTTTTTTTTTTCCCTCCTCACCATGAAAATGAAATGTATTTTGAGTTCCTCCTCAAGGCTTTAATATTTAAGGACAGGCAGATGTGGTCTCTCTGAAGGTCCCAGAGTTTTCCCTTCTTTCTGGAGTGTGGCAGAGGACACTGGAGGCATGCTACTGTACTGACTCAGGCGGGGCTAGCACACACACGACCCTGCTTAGGCTGAGGGACACAACCCGCAGATGCTGCGGGAAGCCTGCTATGTTACATGTGTCCTGAGAGCTCACTTGTCCCCAAAGCTTCATGTGCCTGCTTTGGAAAAGCGGAGATTTTCGTCCAGTGGGTAACTTACTTCTTTTGCAGACTTGGATGTCGGCAGGATAGTTTTTCTCAGAACACAGCCCACTAGTTAGAGAAACTAGACTGACCAAGCAGACAGTAAGAATGAAACAAACACTTGGTTCTCTGTCCATCGCATTCTGCTGAACGAACTCTGGGATCGAGTAGAACACTATGGATTGTGAGCCACAGAAGGACCTGTCGGGGACACAACCTGTCCCAGGATCCCAAGTCTCGCATCAAGCTCTTTGTCTTACTGAAGTTTGTAAGTATCTCAGCTTGACAATTAGCATTGTTTCACTGTTGTTCAGAAAACACCCTTTCAAAGACAGAAAAGAAATCCTGAAATGTGATGGCACCAGAATGTCAAGAGTTTACCGGGTCTTTAGGGTTTGGCCAATTTTTATAGCCTATGCTCATAGATTTGTAAAGGTGTCATAGAGGGTGACTCCTTATGTAGGGTTCACAGAAAACGGCCAAGAGCTGTGGGAATATTCCAGGTCTTCAAATCAGAGTTTCAGCAGAACAGTTGTCTTGTTTTGCCTACCTTTCGTGGCTGTCCCCTCTACCTTCCCAAGAGGTGATGGTCAGGCCGTGGTGGCGGCGAGTATGTCTGCACCACGGTCAGGGAGAGGGTGAGATGAGTGCAACAATAGGGACAGACAGGGACCTCCTGGAGGAGGTGAGCAGAGGCTGTGCAAAGTGCGTGGCTGTCAGGCATCCCGAGTTTCATCTTCTCAGGGAACCTAGGCCCATGACAGAGTGTGTGGCCCTGTTCTCACACGTGCAGGCACCTCTCAGGTGGAGCAGCAGCGTGGAGGCAATGAGTGGAACAGTTAAATGACCTTTTCTTTACAACAAGGTCTTCCAAGTGGGGCTGCTCAACAGCTAACCCACGGAGGTTCCCTCATGTGGCCTCTGCTGACTGCCATGGTAACATCCCAGGGGCAGGGCCAAGCAGAGTGACAGCTGTGGCAAAATGCATGTAGCTGAGGTGATTAAAGTAACAATGATTTCCAACCAAAGAACAGACTCCTAAATACATATATATATATATGTATACATATACATATATATTCCATTTAAAATAGATGTAAATACGTCTTTAAGATGCAAAAACAACACTAGGTTGCTGGAATATAAAATCTTATTTCACTGTTGGAGAAACACGGAGAAGCAACTGGTTAGCATCGGAGTATCTGGGAGGAGACGGAAACCCAGGGAGTTCCCAAGTGTCAAGACCACACTGAGCTTAGGCCCTGCATTTCCCTTGTCCTGCCTGGCTTTGCATGGCCCAGCAGGGAGGGAGAGCAGCTGAGGCAGCTCCCTCTGCTTCTGGTCACTGCCTCTGGTTGTCCCTCCCTACAGAGAGCTAGCAGCAGGCGTCATCCCCAAACTACACATTCATGTGCACATCAACTCCTCTGTGTCCTCGGCCAGTTGACCGCCAGGAAGTAACAGGTATCCAGCAGAGTGAGACTCTGAATTCCCTTTGCCAAACAGTTGTGCTGGTCAATGGGCCCAGCAAACCCAGAGAGCATGGAGCAACTGGAAACATTCCTGCGAGGCCGGCTCTGCCCATCCAGTCCTGCAGCGGCCCTGCAGCTTCCACTGATCTGCCTGGCGTCCTTTCTCGCACAGCCTGTGAGAGGGTGAAGACACCAGATGGCAAGCCACGAGAAGGTTCTGGATGTGCAGCAGAGGCCAGGGGAGCTTCTAGCCTTCGGTGTAGACAGAGGAGAGCTGGCTAGGACACCGGTCCACAGCACTGATTTGCAAGAATGTGGCATCTTCAGGCCCGCTGCGAAGCGACTCCCCAAAGAGGCCCGAGGAAGCTGACGGCAAATCATACACTGCAAGGGAAAGCACAGGACATCAGTAACGTCAGTAACAACAGCCACGCCACACCCACCCTGGGTGCCTGGCAGTGATGTAGTTCTCCGAAGACCCCCCCCCCCAGGGGGCTATGCGGGCAGCCTCCTTGGCCTCGTCCCTCAGGGACCTCAGTCTGGGAGCAGGCTGACTTGCTGGCGGCTGGCTCAAATGTGACTCAGTGTGCACACTCCAGGCTCAGCGGGAGGGAAAGAAAAGCAGAAGTGTCCTGGGGAAAGGTGAGTGTGACCTCCCGATGAAGGTGATGTCAAAGTGCAGTTGTAACGAGAGAGACTGTCAAAGTGCAGTTGTAACAAGAGAGACTGTCACAGAGGGAGGATGAGGGATGGAATAGTTCAGGAGGAAGCAGAGCCAGGGGTGGGAGTGGGGTGGCGGAGGTGGGGGCCCTGTTGAAGCTCACATGAAGACTCTGGAGGGAAAAATGTGTGTGGGCAGCAGCAGCTCTGGGGAGTTGGATGAGACCTAACCAGCAGGGGTCCTGAAGGCCTTGCAACTGGAAACCACTGCAGGTGTCTGAGCAAGAAAGGGACACGGGTCATCTTCCACTGTTAGAAGGCAATGCTCGTGCTTGAATGGAGGGCACAAAGGGAGACAGGAGAGGAAGACTCAGGGAGACTTGGTGGAAGGTTACTACCACAGACTGGGAGCATCAGCACCTGAACTAGGGTGGTGGAGGTGGGCTGGGCTCGAGGTGGGAGGAGGGTGACCAAGGACATTTCGGAGGTCGTTCAAGAGGATCTGGCATTGGCTTGTGCTGGGTCCAGTCTCATGTAGACCAGTCACTGGAAACCCACCTAGTCTCTCCTACGTCAGTCACCCCACACACCTGTAATGCCCGAGTGAGTTGAGAAGGCTCTGTGGAAAACATCAAAGCCAGCCTGGCCCATGGATGTGGGGACCAGGCAGTCCTCGAAGGAAGGCACCACACTGCAGGAGCTGACAGGTGGCCCGGTCCTCTGGGAGTCGGAGTAATGTGGAGGGCAGAAGGTCTGCAGCTGCCCGTAAAACCCTGAAAAGCAAGCACAGCACTGAGCTCCTTCCCAGCACAGCTTCCGAAGACTGTTCCAACCCAGCCAGAACCACACTCAGCCTGGCTTCCTAAGGCAAGATGCCTTCAACAGTCAAGGCTACCCTTAGTGGTGTGTGTGTGTGTGTGTGTGTGTGTGTTTAAAGATCTGTTTGTTTATTTGAAAGGCAGACTTACAGTGAGAGGGAGAGGCAGAGAGAGAGAGATCTTCCATCCACTGGTTCCCTCCCTAAAGGCCACAGCAGCCAGGGCTGAACCAGGCTGAGGCCAGGAGACAGGAATTCCATTGTGAAAGGCAGGAGAACAAATACTTGGGCTACCTTGCACTGCTTTACCATGAACGTTAGTAGGAAACTGGATCAGAAGTGGAGCAGCCAGGACACAAGCCAGTGTCCATATGGGATGCCAGCATTGCAGGCGGTGGTTTTACCCAATGCGCCACAGTGCCAGCTCCCCACCTTAGCTTTCAAGGCTGCTTTGTTTTCCAAACAAACATTTGGAATGCATTTACCTTCAAGAAATTTCCAAAGCTATGGGCTTAATATGCTTTTACTTAGTGCTCTAGTACCTGAGCAGATGGGCTGCTTCTTTTCTCTATACTTTGCAAAGAGTCCTGGAAAATATGGAGCAAGCAGGGGACATTCCTACCCCAAGTCCTCCCACCAATTTTGGAATGCTTCTTCTTTCTCAATTTCTTTAGTTCTACATTGTGGTCTGTTTTCATAGTTGGTAAGAACTTGTAGAATGCCAAACGGATGACCACAAGAGGTGGTTCAGCAACAGTGCGGCACTAAGTGATGGGAACATTAAACAGCCATTAAAAAGAAAACTCAGGAGTTTTTAACAACACAGAAACACCATTATACAGTTCAGTTAAAAAGAGCAAGATAAGAAATTGAATATGAAGACTAGGCTCAATTATGTGGAAGTCCATATATAGGATAAAGATGGCTAAGACACCAAACCCCTAGTTGTCCCTGTGTACTTGCTTGTTTCTTTGTTTTTGCCTTTATGCTTTTCTGAAAGGTACTCTGGAGGCAGATTTCCTGGGTTCACCTGTTAGCTCTAACTACGAACTGACAATATAATTTTATAATATTATTTAATTAACTTCCTGGTACCTTGGTTTTCTAATTTGTAAAATAGGTGTAATGTTAACAGCTATATCTCATTAAGTTCTTATGAAGATTCAATGAGTCAATATTTACATATCATATAATACACTGTGATAGCATAATTATGAAACTAATACTTATATATACTTTAACGGTATCATTTCTATAATATATGTGTTAAATAAGTAAAAGTCATAACAATAATGTATTTCTAAAAATAAATAGAATCTACTGACAGAAATAATACTTTAAGTAAGGCAATATGTAAATCCTTCAACAATAACCTCCTACTGTTCTGACACAGTAGGAGGCATGTGGCACAGCCCCAGCTCCCAGCTGAAATATTCTGGAATATTCTTGGCCCTCTGGAGATCTGAGCTGTATACCTCTTGTGCATGGTGTTGAGATCCCACACTAATTGACACACATCCGGTTTTCTTCATTTACCCCAGTGGGAGCTCAAAACAGCTACAAGTTTGGGAAGTTTCAAGGAATCTGGAAAGTGAAGTTGTATGTTTCAGCAGTTCCTGGGACTGATTCTGACTTTGGGTCCATGGCATCCAGACACATATAAACAGAGCGTAAATATCAGGAGAGAAACATCACCAGGAGCCACTGTAGTTAGTCTGTTACAATGCATGCCTTCTTTCTGAGCGGACAGACAATATTTGCTATCTATACCTCTGCCGGCTCTGCTCACACGCATCACCCATAAATTCCCTGATAGCACTCCTCAGTGTAATATGGTCTTCCAAAAGAAGACATTTTTCACTAAACTCCTACAACTCCCCAAATAGAGACATTAATCATTCAGGGACAATGACAGAGACTTCACTGGCGTTTTGTGAAAACCACTTCATTCCCCCGTTCCTATTTTCTTGTCTGTTTTTTCAGAAAGAGCAGAAACGTCACATGGCTTCAATCTATATTGGATGTTGTAATGTGCCTAAGTATGAAAGTTTGTAAAGTGGTAAAATACACTTGGTGAAGCTCACTATTAAACCCAACATTCTGGGCGCCCGCTCCCAGTCTGGATCTGAGCGAGGGGGGTGGAGCACACTCTAATTTCTGCCTTTGGGTATCTTGGCTACCACAAGAAACTGTCAAAACCAGAATGGCCTCGAAAGCATGTTTTATCACTCTAACAGCCAACTCAAGAGAAGAAAATCCTCTTTATTAAATCCCTCCCTCCAAGTAGCCGGTTACTAGGGATGCCAAATGCGCCCGTGTGGATGGCTGTGGTCACTCAAATCAGAGTTTTAACATTTCCATAAAACTAATGAAAAAATTTAAAAATGCCATTAAGATCTTACAACACACACAAATCCAGGGAAAGCCAAACTCAATTTCTGATGAATGGCTTCTGTATTCCAGGGGTTGGATTTCATGTGGCACATTTGGAAAAAACACTACTTCTCGGACCCAAAGCAAAATGTTAACACATTTCACGGACATAAAACCTAAGAGCAATGGCAAGGTCAGCCAACCTGTCAGTCAGTCAGTAATGGCCACCAAGTACTAGTTAGGACCAAGCGCTAGTTAGGATATTGTTGGAGAGATCAAAGAAATAAAGACAAAACCTTGTCCTTGAGAGTTGATAATATAGTTTGGAGAGAGAATACTACATGTAGCATAAGAATACACACATGAATATATAAATGGGCAAGAAATGTTAGTGGCTGCATTTAGTTATAAGGTTACCCCGCCTCCACTGCAGAAGTTGCTTTACCTCCAAGAATGCAAGAGGGCAGGAATTTGTACATAAGCTCAAAACTGTAGCTCTGGAAAGTCAAGAAAAGCCACTCCAAATTTTCAGTTTTGGGAAGCTTTCTTTTTTTTGCTCCTAAAAACAATTTCCCTCTAAAAATGATTTTTTCAATTATGAAAATATTTGGGGCTAATTATATCAACTAGAAAATGTACACTATTTATAATCAGGAAAAATTACTTCCATGATTCAGAAATGGTCAGATAAACACACACAAAACTAAAGTCTTATAACCTGTTTTCTCTCCTTATGTAACCTATGAGTTTCTTCACCTATCATTAATTCTTAAAAGCCTTTTTTCTTTACTTAGTTACATGACTATAATGATAGGGTTACATCAAGAGTTCACAGGCTGGCGCCGTGGCTCAATAGGCTAATCCTCCACCTGCGGCGCTGGCACACCGGGTTCTAGTCCCGGTTGAGGCGCCGGATTCTGTCCCAGTTGCCCCTCTTCCAGGCCAGCTCTCTGCTGTGGCCAGGGAGTGCAGTGGAGGATGGCCCAAGTGCTTGGGCCCTGCACCCCATGGGAGACCAGGAGAAGCACCTGGCTCCTGGCTTCAGATCAGCGCGGTGTGCCGGCCACGGCGGCCATTGGAGGGTGAACCAATGGCAAAAAGGAAGACCTTTCTCTCTGTCTCTCTCTCTCTCTCACTGTCCACTCTGCCTGTCAAAAAAAAAAAAAAAAAAAAAAGAGTTCACAGTCACTCTTGCTGTGGACGATAATAAGGCAGCCTCATGACACTGGGTGTGGATTTCCTTCCCAAAGTGGAAGGGGGTGGGGGAAGCTAGCAGAAAAGGGAATTTGCATGACCAGATGTGATAATAGAAGGGCATTCTCTAGGGCAGTGCTGTCCCATTGAACTATTCCATGGTGACTGAAGTGTTCTTTATCTGCGCTGTCCAATACAACAGCTTGGTGTGATTACTGAGCACTTGAAATGTGGATAGTGCCCCTGAGAAACTGACTTAATTTTATTCAACTTTGATTAATTCATCAAATAGCCACACGTGGCTCATGGATACTGCACGAGACAGAACAGTTCTAGGACAATTTGAATTCCCAGGTTTAGCACAGTTGGTTTCAGGAATGTTTTTGATTAGATTCCTGAAAGAAAAACATATAACCCACTAAGAATTTAAATAAAAGCTGCATAAATGATTTTTAAGCTCTTGGCCTTCAAGATAGGAAGTAGTATATTAGACTCTTCATTACATCTATCTTTTCTTTACAAATATACCACTCAATCTTTGGAAGAAGAATCAAAGAATCAAACATATCAGTAAGTAAGCAGTGGTCACCCACTTGCAACCCTCAAGAGATTGAGTAGTTTTATGGCTAACCTGCCAAAGCATATCAATCTCCCTGGAGAACCTGTTTTCCCTTCTGGAAGCAGCAAAATGTAGGATGCATGTCACCATTTATGTGTTTCAGAGTGAGGGCCTAGGTTACCATGTGCATTGGCAGTAGCAACATGCAAGGAGTGTCTCCATTGTTTACACCTCACAGTGGTAGAATGAGGTGTCAACAGAGAAAGCTCTACTTAGCTGTGTGTATGCATGGATGGAATTTTTTTTTCTTTTTTTAAAATTTATTTCAAAGGCAGAGTTACAGAGAGGCAGAGGCAGAGAGAGAGAGAGAGAGGGAGTCTTCCATTTGCTGGTTCACTCCCCAGATGGCCACCATGGCTGGAGCTTCATCGATCTGAAGCCAGGAACCAAGAGCTTCTTCTGGGTTTCCCACATGCGTACAGGGGCCCAGGGACTTGGGTCATCTTCCACTGCTTTCCCAGACTACAGCAGAGAGCTGGATCGGAAGTGGAGCAGCTGGGACTCAAACTGGTGCTCATATGGGATGCCAGCACTGCAGGCAGCGACTTTACCTGCTATGCCATAGAGCCAGAGATCTTCCATCTGCTACTTCACCCCCAGAATGCCTTCAACAGCTGGGGTTGGGCCTGGCCAAAGCAAGGACTCAGGAATTCCATCTAGATCTCTCAGATGAGTGGCAGGAACCCAAGGACTTGGGCCATCATCTGCTGCCTCCCAGCTGTATTAGCCAGAAGCTGGATGGGGAGCAGAGGTGGGACTTGCTATAGATG